CTCTTTCTCTCTCTCTCTCTCTCTCTCTCATCCCTCTCTCATTCACGCCTTCCAAGAATAACACAGGCAGTAAACTGTAACACACACACACACACACACATACACACACACACACACACACACACACACACACACATACACACACACGAACACACACAAATTAAACAACAATTTTAAAAAGAAGAAAAACGTACAGATTGACTTGCAGAGTCCGCAGGTTCTTCGACAGTTCCGGTGCATGAACTCTGCTTGGCTTGTGCAAGCTACGGGGTCGTAGTAGTTCAGGTTGACACAGTCCTCGATGACGTCATCACACGCTTTGACCTCTGAGATAAGGCGGAGAATGAACATACCGTTGACAGAAAAACAAGCAAACACAAAAACAAAACAAGCAACAACAACAAAAAAAGAACAAAGATTAATGTTCATCAAGTGTCCATTTCACCCTACCCCTTTTTCCAAACCGAAAGAGAAAAAAAGAAAAACAAAACCTTCCAGCCACCCCCATCCCCCCTATCCCCCCAAAAAAAACAACAACAACAACAAACAAACAAACAAAAAAACCAACAACCCCAAACCGAACGAACAGACAAAAAAAAAAAAGAAAAAAAGAAACGACAAACATCCCTCCGGCACCCCATAATAACATATTAAAAGAATCCACGAAATAAAACAAAGCAACAACTCAAAAATCATAATCAAAACAAAAATAATAATCAAAACAAAAATAAAAACCCACCCTACATGGCAAATTTCAAATTTTACACTGTTATCACTCTTGTGGTTAAAATATTCGGACAGCTCTAAATATAATTACGTTTTTTATTATGATACTCCATTATTGCAGGGTATCTACGTAAAGATAATAAAAGTATATACACTGTGTCATTAATGAGTAGAATGACTATGACACATGTAATTGTTGTGTCTCAATAAACATCATTTTAATTACCGTCTCTCTTCAACACTACAGTTAGTGTAAAAAATAATACTACAAAAACAGGAAAACCAAATCATGGTATCAGATTAGTGCACTTCAAAATGGGCTTTCGTTTTTCAGTAAGATGTAGAATGATCGTACATGTATGTACAAAAATGTAATAAAAATCTTACCAAATTGTTTATGCTTGCAAACGTAACTTTTGGAGTAAAATTCACACGCGATGTCGTTCCAAGATTTGTCTGCCTTCATGATCACACAGTCGGAGTTATAGAAATTGTCTGGTTGGTCTGAGGAGGTCATTAAGCGATCAGCTCTGCGTTTTTGTGTGAGTGTGTGTGTGTGTTTGTTTGAGTGTGTGTGTGTGTGTGTGTGTGTGTGTGTGTGTGTGTGTGTGTGTGTGTGTGTGTATGTGAGAGAGAGTGTGTGTGTGTATTTGAGGGCTTTCGCGCTTGTGTTTGTATGTTTGTGTGTGCATGTATGTGTGCATGTGAGAGAGATAAAGATGGAGAGAGAGAAAGAGAGACAACACACACACACACACACACACACACACACACACACACACACACACACACACACAGAGAGAGAGAGAGAGAGAGAGAGCTAAAGATTGTTAGAGAGAGAAAGAGATAGTTAGAGAGAGGAGACACACACGCGCGCACACACACACACACACACACACACACACTAACCCCCCACCACCAAACACCCTTATCAACAACCACACACACCCATTCTTACACACACACAAAAACACACACACACGTACACGCACGCACCCATACAGAGAGAGAGAGGGAGAGAGAGAGAGGGGGGGGGGGGAGAGACAGAGCAAGAAAGAGAGAGAGACAGACAGAGACAAAGACAGGGACAGAAACAGAGAGAAAGACAGAGAGACAAAGAGCGAGTACGTTATGCATTTGTATGCGGATGATTAGTGAGTAAAAATTGAATGGATGATTTGAAATATAACATTGTAAAAAAAAGTTCACGCCTACCTTTCAGCCAGTTTGTGTAGTCGAAGGGTTCCTCATCGCCCCATTTAAATTCCCCTTCGGTCACCCTGTCACTTCCTCCTAACCAAACCTCTTTCTCGTCCATCCTATAGAAGAGAAATGAGGAACTTAACAGTGGCCCTTTATTTTACCCTTTCACCAATTATTTATTGTCTTCAGACTCGGATATCATTGAACTGATATCAGGTAACTAATAAGTAAAAGTACTGCAGGATCGTTACCATGGGTCAAAAATTGGCATTTTGTTGCCCAGTTTTCGGGAGATGCAAATCCAACACCTTACCACTTCCACTGCAGATTCACGCTAGTGTTAGCTCACATGCGTAGGTTTTCAAAAATACTTTGACAGTACCGTACTTTAAAAAAAAACCCACAAAAAAACCCCGGTCATAGTGTTGCAGCTGTATGTTAGCTAGGGATCTAGCTGCAAGTGATCATCATTTCCGCCGTAACTTCTCTACCATGTTTCACCTTGACCAATGAATGGTTAAATATAAGCATGGCTACTATAGAAGTTACTTAAGCTTTTGGTTATTAAAGACAAGTCCACAATGAGAGGCTGAGACACTACAAAAAAAAAAGGTGGGGAGGGAGTGGTAGCTCAAATCTTACTAAGACGACAAAGACAATTTTGGAATGGAGAAAGGTTCTCGATGGAAATCTGCACTCAGAGAAAAGGAGAGATAGACATGAAATCATACGATTGATGGAAAAAAGGGGGAAAAAAGAAAGAAAAAGAAAAAGCGTTGTCAGACTGTGGACCTAGCATGCATAGTTTGGCCTGCCCGACGTTCAAGGTCGTCAGTTGTCGCTCAGGTGACTCAGGTAAATCTTTTCAGTTAAAAAAACCTACGAAAGAAGACAAAGCTTTGGAAAGCTGAACGTAATTCTGACGCTGTCAGAATCTTGGACGTAAATGAATCGATCAAATTTTCTTATGTACCTTTCCAACTTATTTGTCTGACGGTAACAGTTACAGTTGTTTGCTTTTTTTCGCTTTCTAAAGTGAACTTTTAAACTCAGCATTTGTTCAAAAGAATCAAAACTTCCAGCTTCATGGTTAACTTACTTGATCAATTTCTTAAACTTTACTATTTATGTAAGCTTTAGATCTAAGCCACATGTTCTATTACGAATGCTTTAAAATATGCAGTTTTATTTGCCTTGTCATCATACTATTTTAACATCATACAAACGATCAAGAATGTTAATGATGTGAACAAAAGTGGGGCATCAGCGTAGATCTGACTTCAACAGAATAGCAAGAACAACAACAAAATCTACAGAAGATGTAGTAATTTTGTCTAACATACACATACGCTCACGCGTTAGCGCACACACGCTCAAAATATAAAACACACTGTACACACACACACACACACACACACACACACACACACACACACACACACACACACACACACACACACACACACATTTGCGCACACACATACATGCGCATATAAAAACGTGCAACGTAAATTAAATAATGAACGTAAAACGGGACAAAGGAGCACAAAATCTATTTTTTAAAAAGTACGATTCTTTATTACTACCAGAGCTACCGTACCTGACCGATGACACAATGTCGTTTTCTTCCTCCGATTTTGCTGTCGTCAATACACCACCGAAAGCAGCACAAGCAATTTCAGCCTCTGAATATTTCAATGCGTCTTCAAAATATTTGTAGCAGTGACCATCATAGAGTTTCCAGTCTTTGTAACATTCTGTGAAAAGAAACATGAACATTGGATCTGAAATAATTCTAAGAAGCGTAAACCCTTCTTTTGAAATAGAGAGGCGAGTGATCGGGTGATTAGTAAGCTCATGTGCATAGTAATACAATACTAAGCTTACGTCGGGACTGTGGCGTATTAGGGGG